GCCCGTTGTAAACATGTCAGAACTAACCCAAATCACAGATTCTGCAGTATTTCGTTAAGTGATTGGTATAATTGAAATATATGTTAAAGGCACGTTTTATCTGCTCTCTTTTCTGTCCTCTAAATTTATGTTTTCGGTATCACATACAGATGTTGCCGCTTAACTGTGTACTTGTGTTTTAGTGGTCTCCATTACCCAACGTCATTAAAAAGTCGTTTGATAAAGGCTTTGATTCCGTTTGGAAATAAATCCTGAGTGATGACAAAGTCGTTTTCCCTCCTCCCCTTTGTTTTTCAGAATTATTGTGAAACTTCATCGAAGAATAGTTGACTTTTAGTTACTTCCTTGCTGGTCTGTGGAAAACTGGCTAATCACATTTATCACGACATAACTTCTGCTTTGCAGTTTCACTTGAACACAGCATAAAGACCAGATGTCAACATAAATGTACACTTGCGTGCAAATTATGGGCATGGTTCGCTAAAAGCAATGCTGTGAAATAGACTACAGTCCAGGGGTGGAAGAAGTATTTAAAATTGTAACTTAAGTAAAAGTACTTATTTAACTATGTTGAAGTACTCGTTCAGTAAAAGTCGTACATTTAAAATCTTCTAAAAGTGACCGTGTGGAGTTTTCATTGCTGGCCAGCTAGGCTGCATGGATTCATTCACCATCGGTTGGTTTGTGAGATTGGCCGACAAAAGTAATTTCCAATTGACAAGCAAAACACATTCTCCATAGAATCAGCCCCAGAGTTTTTATCTAAATAGCCGAGGCTGTCCACACAAGGGACTATATTACTTTGTGAGTTAGCTAGCAATTCACCTTTGTTAGACAACCTGCTAATGTGAGTTAACACAACCAAATGAGTAATTACTGTAATCAAGTTTCACTCAACATCTGACACATTCATGTTTTGGCCTCACTATTTAAAAAAAAAAAGTATTCTTATGTGTTTGTAAACAAACCTCTATAGAATAGTGTATCATCATTTGTAGATTACTTTGGAGTGACTATAGACCACTCATACTTATATAGAAAACTTGTTTGTACATGTGAAGATATGATAGTGAAGCTAAAAGACAACAGATCTCTGTCCAGTCTCCTCTTTCTGTATTTATCTAATACAGAGGAACATTATGTTTGTTATTCTAATTTATCTTAATTTTTCTAATATCAAATTAAAAGTGTAGGAAATGGTCATTTATTTTTTGTGTAATTCTGAACCCAGAAAATGATTTGTCCCGAGTCAGTGACTAAAGATATGATTATAAAAGAGAAAGTTTTAGTAGACAGAAACTTTGTCCCAACCCTCACTGGCCATCTTGCGTCATCATCTGAACATCGCTCTTTTTTCCTCCGTTCACACGAAACACCAAGCTAGGGTTTAAGCATCTTGAACACTTTGGGGAATGTTTCCAAAAGCTTTGATTTGGGGGAGAAAAACAAGTTTATGGCTGTGAGAGAGATAAAACTTTAATGTTTTTTTTTGTTGATGCACAGAGAAACTGGAGAAAGACAGTGTGAGGGAAATGAAAGAGAAGAGAGGAAGTGTAATCTGAAACGCACGATAAGTGCAGAATTGTTGCTTTCTAAGTGTGTGATTGAAAGACACAAGTTATTTTTACTGGTTGCCTTGTTGTAACTGGTCTTTTTGTTCTCTTTCCTGGCTACAGTAGGATTACAGGCCTTGAGATTCAAAAGCACACGCCTCTGATCCCCTGCAGAAGTTTATCTGCTTCACATCTTCTGTCCTCCCGTTCATCTGCTATCAGCCGTGACCTCTGACCTCCTAATTGCTGTTCTGAGCGTAAGTTCACAGTGACCCCAGTATGACCATCACAGAGCGAGATGCTTTCAGTGCTAACAGGACAACAGGAACGTCAACCGTGGGATCCTATCTATACAATAATAACTTGAAAGTTGTGTCAACTACAACAACAAACAAAACAGGCCCACTTTTTATTTAGTGCGGCTGAGAGAAGTATGTAGACTTCAAGTTCAGAGACTACAATAAAAATACACTGGGTCATAAGTAAGAGGCCTGCATTGAAGATGTCAACTAAATAAAAGTATATCTCATTATCAGGGAATTTCCTCAATGCAGAATCTGTAACAGTTAAATATACAAATATATAAAATCAGGGAATTCAAGTATTTTCAAACCTTTTTCTGAGTCTTATTTTACCATTTTTAGGTCCCTGCTTAAGCCATCAGCTGCTTAACAGACTGAAAGGCTTCAAGCCTAACACCCTGCTGCAACAGAAGGTGTTTTGAGTTCATGGTTAAGATTGTTATTCTAAGTTTCTAACATTAAAGTAAAGATCCCCTCAGAGACAAGATATTCGGTTATAGAGTAAGGTGCTTTAAAAAAAAAAACCCATCAGGAACAGCTTTTACATTTCTCTTTTCAGAGCCTCGGCCTCTATTGACTCATTTGGAGTTGCTTGTCTACCACTGCAGAGATCTATTAGCTTTCTTTGTGTGTTATTCTGTGTTGCATCAAAATCTGAGTTTACCATGTAAAACACCAACATCACACAACAGGATGAACCGTCTTTGATAAGGTGCCTATAAGTAAATCTACAACTGTTGGCATAGCAGGGTATGGAAAAGTATAAACTGTATAATCAGAACATATTAAATCTTAATGTACAAAAAATGAGATGTTAGGTTGTGCGTGATTTCCTGAAAATATAACTGTGTTAAAATGACATCATTTCCTTTTCTTATGCTCAAAATCTTTTTTTTTCTTTAATCATTGACATTATCTGAATAAAAAGAAACCCAAAATCATGACTGATGGTTTAAACGCTGCCTCTTTCTGTCTGGACGCGGTACTTAGAGACCAAGTGAACCCTCAGGTGTTCTGATATCAAACAATAATGGACTCAGAGGCTCACGGCTCTGCTGCTTCATGTCACATTTTGTTTTTTCCCCGCCTTACAACATAATGACTCTCTGGATGTGTGGGAGGATGGGAACAGTAGCTGGTCAGATTCCAACATAATAACTGCAGGGTCATTAACAGGAAATACCAACAAACACACAGTGAATGTGTATGTGTGTGTCTTTGTGTAGCGACGAGTTCCTGTCCGACATTCACCCTAAATAGTCTGTTGGCTCCTCAAGTGTCTTTCTGTCTGGAACTATTTATATCGAAATGATAGTTCATTTTGTGCATGTTTATTGATGGATGTTAGATATAGAGGCTTCCCTCTGCTAAAAAAGGACAAGCTGCTGTCTTGGTATATTCCTTTATTGTGTCTTATTATAAGCACTTGTAACGTTCTGTGACAAGATTTACAGAGGCTCTTAAAAAAGTACTCTCTCTCTTTTTTTCCCTCTGTCCTTTTGGTTTATTTACTGATGGCTTGTTGAAAGTCTGGGATGAATCACCGAGCGGTTGGAGTTCTTCTGTGACTCTTTCAGGACAAATATTCTTCCCCGAACTTCAGCTGAAAACTGTTAACCCCCAGCTGACTTAAAATACGTATAATGTCATTGTTTACTGGGCGTAGCAACACTGGATTAAAACAGTCTGAATCATACCAAGAAGTCCTCACTTCCTAATAATGTAGTCCAGTAAAAGCATTTCTGTGTAATGATGAAGACGGCAAATGAGCTGCCACACTGCCTTTCTGTTGTTTTTATGACAATGAAGATCTATTCTATTCTACAGAGTGGGACTCGATAATGCATAAAAAACAAGATATTTACCTCTTTAGTAAGTTACACTACTTCATGTTATTATAATTGAGTAAGGGGATTATCTCATTCCACCTCTGTGGTCCAGTTTCACATCTGTAACATCAGCACAATCGGTGGTGGACTGAGGTTCTCAGAGAGGCAATGTAGACCGTTGAAGAGCACCAGTTTGCAAAATGCATCTGGTTTTCTTCTTTCTCCTCCGTTGTGATGGCACTTGAATCTCCTTTTTCATTGATACCAATTAGTGCTCGACTGGAAGGTCACTATTGAGAGGGTTATATTTGATTCTAGAGGGCACAGAACAGTACATCATGTTTAAACCACTTGAACAGCCTTATAGAGGGTGCTGCATTAGGTTGTATCCACTTACAGGACACACTGCAGTCCCATCATGTTTTACCTTTACTGAAATGTCACATTGGAGGGAGATGGACCATGTTCTCTACGAGGAGGGTATATGGTCACTGCATCAAGTTTTACCTGCATGACGTTTCCTCCACTAGAACAGCGTCTTATACCGTCTAAAATGTTTTCTGCATTGGAAGATCTCCAGAGGATTGTTCATGTTCTCCACACAAAGGCCACTCTGTGCTACTTTTTCTCAACGTCTGATAAAAACCCATCAGTTAGCTCTGTCGCATTGTCTTCGCATTACAGCAGTGGTTCTCAACTCGTGGTAGGGGACCCAAAAGTTGGTCCCGGAGCTGTTTTCAGGGGGGGGGGGGTGGTCACGAATGTATGCCCAGAAAAATAATTGTGTCAAAAACTCTGCGGTCCTAACTTTCATCATTTAATCTGAGTGGTTGGAAAATATCAGAAGTTTTAGTTGCAGTACGTCATTAAGAAGTTGGTTGTGGGTAGTGTTGCTCACCACTTGCAACTACTTTATACATTTTTCTTGCATATTGGGAAACCATGATGGACACTTCAGCATTACCTTCCATATAGGATCATCATGAAGTGTGATTTTTATTCTTTACACTTGGATACATGTTTTAATCATTTTTTTGTTGTTACTAATGATGACTTGTGATACGTATTTAATTAGGCCCATTTGTGTGTACCAGCGGACAGACACTTAAATGAGATTACAGACACACTGACTCCATTCACACTGTAGTGATAACTGAAGAGGAAACACCCAACACTCACACATACACACACACAGGCACTCTTGCGCGCTTATAGGCGGGGGTGGAGAGGAAACACCGTTAGACACACACACACACACGCACGCACACACACACACACACACACGCACGCACACACACACACACACACACACACACACACACACACACGCGCGGAGATCGAGGGAGGGTCTCCGCGCGCTCGACTCTCAGTTTCATTGACTTCATCCCAAACTCGGATGAACTTTAGTTTTGACTGATTCTTCTTCTCATTTTCTTTCATCTTTCATTGCTCACATTTTCAGTGTGTCAAGAGTAGCCTCGTGGGCTGCCTCAGACGGACGGACACGCACGAGACAAGCGCAACAGGAGGTTTCACGAGCGACTCACATCGGACCAAGAAGGACTTTTTAAGAGAGACTTTTGGGAGCAAACTTTTGGCTGTTTTATCTTCTTTTGTCGGCACGGTTCTTGTTTAACATCTGTCCGGTGTCGACTGGACTTTCCAAACTGACCCGGGATATCTGCTGTCTGACCCGGGATATCATCTGTCAGGGCGTTACAGTAAGTTAGCCCCCCGTTCATAAAAAACAGAGTCAGTTGATAAATCATTGGATTGAATCTTAGCTGATGAGGACAAATGTTTAAAGAATAAAAAATCCACTTTTAAAACACTTTAAAACACGTTTTGTGTGTTTTAAATGTATAATTCTCCTGATATAAGCTGCTGATATTTGATGTGACTTTAAAAAATGAGCAAATATTCTCTCTTTTCTTTATATTGGACAGAACCGTTTAAACATGCATGATTAAATGTAAGCTCACTAAAACGTAAATAATAAGAGCATAAGAGAAATTAAATTTGTGTTGTAGAACTTTATTTTGCTTTCTGATGACACTTAAGTTGAAGTCCTTATCTTTACTTTAATCGGCCTTTTAATATTGTTAAAAAGAGAATATCTGCTGCTGATAAAGTTTCTGAAAGGTGAGGGTATATTACAGTCTGGTTAGGGTTGAGCTGTGGAAAAATCTGTCTATAGGCCTATAATATAAAAAAAAAATCATTAAAACAATAGGCTTCAGAATGGTTTAATTAATGAGCCTATTCTTATAAATCATTATTTTACACTTAATTAAAATATGCCTGGCTGCTTTTCATTGCACATGTCTAGCAGGGGTGTAGCCCAAAGTGCTGAAAACAGGACTAGACGAGAAACTGAGAGGAAATCTGTAAAGAGATATACAAAAAAATAAACAAGTCAAGACTTTGTTCCATTCTTAGATGCAGCTGCTTCAGTTGCACTTTTGCCTGCTTTTTTTTTTTAATCTATTTTGAAATATCCAGCTAGAGCCAAGAGCTACTTAGAAATAGAATAGCTTGGCATAAAAAGTGAAGGAGAAAAGTTAGCTGTGCCGTGTCAGGAACACAATCCACCTGGCAGCATCCCTTAAAGTCACTAATCATATCTTGTACTGCTGACTTTGTGATAACTGCAGTGAAAAGACAGATATTCTGCATTTTGAGCAGGAGTACCAGGAGTATGTGTTACTCTAATTGGTGGCTGTTATTGATCTATGACATGCCACCCCAAAACTACACATTTTTACAAATTGCAGTTTGGCTCTTGTGCAGATTAAAAAGCAGCAGCATGGTAATGAGTAACCTTTGGGGGTACCAGTAGGTGGATTTTCCCCTTTGAATAGAACCATGCTTTCTGATTTCCCTCTGCCTCCTGTCTGTGTGCTAAACTAAACTAAGCTAGGCTAAGACAACCACCAGATTGAAGAGAGCATACTCTGAAAACTCATGTAATAGGCATCCTTGGGAACTTTATGATTAACTGATTTTAAATAAAATTCTATGGGTGTGAACAAAATTGTAGTATAGATACTTTGCCAAATTAAAAGTAGGACTACTGATTTCTCTGGAGCTAAAGTTTGTCCTGATCTTGTGCATGGATTATTATTGATCGTTGGTTTGTGTCTCTCTGGTGTCTTGCAGCTTGTCCTCCGTAATGCGTCCCTCAGTGGACAGCATGTGTGCCCGCTGCAGCCTGATCCTGGTCCTGGTTCAGGCTTTGGTTCTCGTCGCTCCTGCAGGAGGATACAATCTGGATGAGGAACACAGTCTGGAGTTCAATGGTCCCACATCCTCCATGTTTGGATACTCAGTCCTGCTGCATCGCCTTGGAGGTCAAAAATGGTGTGGACCTGAACTATTCATCATTACTTGATTTAAGATTAATCTCTGATTGATCGGTTCGTCTTCCAACGTCTGCTATTGAACCTGTACTACATTTCTCCTGGGTTCAAGTTGATCTTCTATTTATCATTTTTCAAATATCTCTTTTTTTACCTGTTTACCTAATATAGACTGTTTATTACTGGTCCTCTAACAAACATTTACTATCATCTTTTTCTGTTGATCAACTGTTGATCAACAATAAGGGAATCACTAACCTTTACTGATTCATCAATCAGCCTTTTGAGATCCATAATTAATCCTTCTTGATCCTCAAATGATAAACAAATCTTTCCTCAATCCTTCTGCTATCGTTCCTCCAGTAATTCTTCATAAAACAACTGCTCCTTTTATTTTCCTCCATTAGTTCTTTAATCTGTTCTTTATTAATAAGCTATTCATCTTAGTAATGAATTTTTGTTTTACTATTGTTCCTTGTTCAACAATTTATCCTGATGACTAAACATCTACTTATCATCCTCTGATCCACTGTTTATCAGCAATTCATATTTGATTGAGCTATCAGTGTTTCATTGAGTTTTTCTGTTTATTCGAGCTTGTATTGATTCTCCACTGAACTTTTTATTTTATGATATGTGTTCACACCATTGGTCCTGTCATCGAACAACGTCTAACACAAACTCAGGTTGCCTTCTGTTTATCTTCAGTTTGTCGTCTGTTGATCTTTTACAGTCTGATACTAATGGATTTCCCCCTCCATAGATTTTTCTTTTACTTTGTACACCACCACATTTTTTAACTGGTTTGGGATGATGTCCATAAAGTTTCTCAGCCTTGTTTTATTCAGCACTTTTTTTGGTGTCATGAATGTAGTTCAGTGTCCCCTTATTTATATCTAACTCTGGAGATCAGGAAGAGCAGATCTCAGTAAGGTCAGAACTACATTTTTAGTTTTATGGGTGTTGATGCTGAATCAGATGATGCACTATGATCCTAAACTGGTCATTAAATGACTGCTGCCCTTATGACGCTGCAGAGAACAGTTAATGTAATTGCAATGATGCTCATTTGGGCCGTGTGTGTGTGTGTGTGTGTGTGTGTGTGTGTGTGCATGCTAATGAGCCAGTTCTTTCAATGATAAAGGCTCTTTGATGCTTCACACACAGATGCCATTCAGACATTGAGCAGACACAAAGACAGATCCTGTCTTAACTGTCTCTCTCACTCGTTCTGTCTCTCTCAGGTTGGTGGTTGGAGCCCCAGAAGCAAATTCTACCTCCAGACCATCTGTGCAATCCCCTGGAGCGCTCTACCGTTGTGACATTACTGGGGAGCACCGCCGCTGTCATCACATGCACGTTGGTATGTTTCTGTCCATTACCGTGTGGAATGTTTTATTCAGCCATTTACCGAGGATTTGAAATACTCGCTGTCCCGCAAACAAAGTATGCAAGCACCACTAGTTTGTGCAAGAATGAACAAAAGATAGAGAGCATTATTTAAAGGGTTAAATTATCCTTATAAACAGGATATCTGTGGCACAATGAACTCGCCCATTAGTTAAGGATTTCAGACTTGTACAAAATTAACTTTTCGGTGTATTTGAGGTTTTCATTTCCAATGCCTGAGAGAAAATGACGGGCACTGTGCATAAGAAACGACTCTGCAGCTGCACTCTCCATTGACGGCTTCACAGATGGTGTCGAAGTCCATTAATGCTTTATAAAGACTGACAGTAACTTGTTGTAGAGCACAGCATCCTTCATTTCCATTGAATTACGGCTGCTGATGCTCTTACAAAGGTAGTGGTATCAACTTTTGCTGCAGTTTAAGGGTAACATCATCTGGCAGCATGCTCGAAACACCATGAAGGAAACATTGTAGTTTGGAAACCTTCATTTTAACATGAAAGAAAGGAGATAAACGATGAAAAGACTATTGATGCAATTATTTCGAACAGTGTTTATGGGTGACTGTGAAGCCTCAAATGCACCATGTCTATGAATAGATGGACAGATCTAGTTTTCATTCTGGACGTATTTAAGGAATCAGCTGCCTACCGTGTTAACACCATCAGCTGTGTTTTTTAAACATACAACTCCACTGAATAATCTTAGAAGGCTCTGAAATACTCCGAACAGCTGAATTAAATTGTGTGTCTGTGTGTTTGTAGACGTTTTGGACTGTGGGAAGACGTGTGAAGCAGAAAGTGATCATCAGTGGCTGGGAGTCAGTCTGTCCAGACAACCTGGAGACAACGGAGGACACGTCCTGGTAACACACACACACACACACTCTATTTCTCTCTCTCGCTCTCTCTCTCACACACATGCAACCTGTAACATAAAACATCAGAGTGACAGTGGTGACACAGACAATGAAGACATGAAACTCTTTTAGCTAATGTGACCTTTACGTTTCATAAAGAAGGAGGAACACAGCGCTGAGTGTTTGAGAGAGTTCAATGACTCAGCATCTCTAGCAGGAGTCCACACAGAGACTTTGTAAATTGTTTGATTTCAAACAACTATGTTTTAACGTTAAGGGTTTAGGTTAGGGATGATTTTCCTTCTGTGGTGGTTAGGTCGCGCCCATTCAGAGGCCCTAGCCCTCGAGTCAGACCTGTGGGGCCTTTCCCCGCATGTCATTCCCCACGCTCTCATCCTGATTTCCTTCTCTATCCACTGTCCTGTCCAATAAAGGCAAAAAAGTTAATCAATCCAAAGTAAGAGCTTTCATCCAGAGAGATAATACCGTTTTTTGTAAATCTATCAGTGATGAAATCTGTTCTTCTGCTTCTATAATAAACTCACCACTCTTCCCCAACAGTGACTAAGCATATCTCTGGCTCTTTATCCGTCCTGTCATGAATGAACAAAGCCATTGTGGAGCATTTACATTAGACAGCTGTGTTTGAAAACATAGGGCGTTACATCCACAGCTGGATTAAAGTCAGCCATGTCAAAGATTTGGACGTCTAAAAGAGGCTTCAAATAAAGTGACAGCCTCTCTCTGATTATCTCCACCACATAATAAGTGAACGGTTGTGAAACGAAACACTTTAGGTTTGAAATAAAAACCACAATACACACTCTCACACACACAGAGTCTCTGTCAGAGGTCATGGGAATAACAACACCCTGCTTCTAACTTGTGATTGTGTTGTTGACAGTAAAGAGCGTGTGTCACATGTTGTTTTCTGTCCCCTGCTGTGTGTAACTGTATGCGTGTTTGTGTGTGCATTCAGGCTTGCGCTCATCGCTGGAAAAACGTCTTCCACTCAAAGAAAGACGGTCAGAACAACAAGCTGCCTAATGGAGTCTGTTATCGCTTTGGTGAAGACCTGAGACACGCCCACCACATGATCCCATGCTACAGAGGTACACACACAACCACGCACATTATACAATTCCCAATCTGAAGTTTAAAAAAAAAAATCCACTTGACTTCCAAACCTGTGGTATCTCTTGTGTATTTTGTGCGTGTTGTACATTTGTATTTTCTTTACTGGCACGGGGTCGTCATGTAGACTTCAACCTATGAATAAAGTAACTTGGAATTCAAAATTTGAATACATTTCAGTTAAACAAATGCTCTGTGACAAAAAAAGAACACGCCTCAGTGATTTCATCCTGGCATTTTGTTCTCGCTTCTTCCTCTCATGTGAGTGTGTGAAAACAGCAGCTGTCGGGCTGCAGGAGGGAAGAAAAAAAAAAGTGTTTAATCTTCTTATTTGTTTGTTCACCTTCACCCCTCAACATGTGTATTTGTTTCTTTTTCCAGACCACCAGAGGAAGTTTGGTGAGGATTATGGGTCATGTCAGGCCGGCATTTCCAACTTCCTGACAGAGGTCAGTAAGACACGACTTCACAACCAGCTTCTTTAAATTCCTCACTGAGTTCTTCAACAGACTGAATGTGATCCTTCACTGCTGTCTTATGTAGTTTGAGAACTACGTACAATTATAAACCCATTGTAGACAACTGCTTTATTTTGTTCCTTTTTAAGTTTTTGAAATTCTATAAATTATTTTCACTATTTTCTTTTGGAAAAGAGAACAGAGTTACTGTCAACTTCTTATGTAAAAAAAAAAAACTTCTTAACTTCAATTTTAAAGCAAATGACACTGAAATCACATCACTGAGACTAAAACGTTTGACTGTCCCTCAGGATCTGATAATCATGGGGGCACCGGGGACGTCTTATTGGACGGGTTCAGTTCTGCTCTTTAACACGTCCAGCGGAGGGTTGTCAGTGTACCTGGATGACGGCACTGGAGCTGTCAGCTTCGGAAGCTACCTGGGTAATTGACAAACTTTACTAAACCCACCAACAGAGACAACAACTTACAGTTTCTACTAACAATACAAACACTGTCTACACCAGGGGTGGGCAACTGGCGGCCCGGGGGCCACATGAGGCCCTCGTCAACCCTCAGTGTGGCCCTCAGGTCAATTTTTATATATCAAAACATGACAAAATCTGCCACGAAATCATGAAAACCAGAAATATTTCCATAATAATATTTGATCACTGGTATATGTTGAGTTAAATTTGAGACATAATCGACTGTTATTGTTTTTGTATCCTACAATTTGGCCCCCTGGCAGTGAGAATTAAATGAATGTGGCCCTTGCTGTGACCAAAGTTGCGCATCCCTGGACTACACACACACACACACACACACACACACACACACACACACACACACACACACACACACACACACACACACACACACAGACTGTAGGCAGAGTTTTGGGGGGGGGTTCAAGGGGCTCACTGAACTACAGCCATACATTTTGCATTGATGGCACCCTTTATCTATGTGCTGGTTTTGTGATTGTGTTTGTTCAAACATTTTGCAGCAGTTCACTTTTCTCAAAACAGCAAATCGATACAAAGTATTTATCTACAGCCAGAGGATGTATGTTTTTATTGGGTTTTTTTTAATACTAGTTAACATTGGTCAAAAGAGAGGTTGACTGGTTGCTCACTGTGGTGACAGTAGATGAGAAATTATAAAAAAGTGTGTTGGCCTCTCTTGGTAAACAGGGGAAAATGTAATACACAAAAGGGAGGAAACCAGGCTCTCCAACTATGAACAATGTAAAAATGAGGAAGGAAATCCTTCAAATGCCTTTATTATAATGGCTGTTTAAAACGCTTACATGTTTGGACCACAGAGGTCTTCATCAGGGCTGACAAACAGAATCGAAGGAAGAGAAGACAGGTGAAAGTCTTCCACGAGGCTTACCAATCATCTATCATGGTGTGGCTTCACTCGTATACCAACTACAGCCAATGAGAAACAGTCACATGAACCAGAGAAATACAAGACAGGTGAAGCAAGTGGCACAGCAATCAGCACCAAATGAACACAGAAATAAAACCCAACATCGGAAAAATAAATGCACAAGTGCACTTGTCAACAATACATGAAATGCACTACAAACAGAAAGATACAATTTGCCTTTGTATTGTTTCTGTGAGAAGCAAGAAGTCACCCACTGAAGGCATGAAAAATACATTACAGAAAGCAGGAAAAATCCAACTTGACAATTAAACCAGAGTCTTTAAAGGATCCAGTCGATGGATCTCTTGGTTGAGCCTCTGGATTCTGTTGCCCCCTCTCTGACCAAAGGTTTGATGTGTTCAGTGCCCTCTATGTGCAATAACATGCCAATGATTCGTTATAGCGCATAGAGGGCATTAAACACATGAAACCTGGTGCCCCGATGAAGGCCTCTGTGGTCGCCTCTGTGGCCTCTGTGGCCTCTGTGGTCGTAACAAGTTGGCTTTTCAATGGTTTAGTCATTATAATTAAGGCCATTTAAGTATTTCCTTCCTAATTTTATTATTTTTTCTTTCTTTGAGTTTCTGTTTTCCTCCCCTTTTGTGTATTAGTTACCATTAATTGGATGGAGTTAAACAAAAGAAAGTCACATAATAATATTTTCATTGGCTTTTCTATGAAATTACTCTACTTTTCTGCTTGTTGCAGCAAACGATACACAGATAAAAACCCGACCACACAGGATGCTCTTTTGTACGCTTGATGTGAGCGACAGTGTATATGTTTTTTCAGACTCAGGACATGAAACTGCAGCGATTGTGTGTTGGGCTGCGAGAGCTGCCAAAGCAACCCTGAGGTCACAGCAGCAGTCTGGGGAAATGCTTCCTCTGTACCGACGGCTGCTTAAAAACAATCTGCAAGTCAGAGTTGTTAAACAGTCAGTAATCACATTTCCCCTTTATTTGACAACATGTCAAACATGCTTTACTATTTGAAGAGCATTGCTGTAGCTTATGACAAAGCTCTCACTTTAGGGGGTTGTGAGACCTAAAATATCTGACTTTCAGAGGCATCGCTATTTATAGAAAGATCTTATTTATTCAAATGACTTGCAAACAGCAATGCATTAAAAAGATAAAGATAAACTTTATTGATCCCCCGTGGGGGAAATTTGTGCATTACAGCAGCTCCAGAAAACAGGGGACGGGAATATACTTATAAAAAAAAAAGAAAAGAAATTAAAAACAGATCAAACATATTTACATCATTTAAATAAAAAAATACAATAATGTAAAAAAAAAAAAATACAATAATGTAAAAAAAAAAAATACAATAATGTAAAAAAATACAATAATGTAAAAAAAATACAATAATGTAAAAAAATACAATAATGTAAAAAAAATACAATAATGTAAAAAAAATACAATAATGTAAAAAAATGCAATAATGTAAAATTACACAGTAACTTGTTCTTAAAAAAAAACACACACACAGTGTGTAGCATGAGGTGGTGATGTTGTTAAAGAGTCCGATTAAACAGTCTGACGGCAGATGGGATGAACGACCTGCGGTAGCGCTCTGTCTTGTAGGGTGGGTGTCTCAGTCTGCTGCTGAAGGAGCTGCTCAGGGGCCCCCACAGTGTCATGCAGGGGGTGAGAGGGGTTGTCCATGATGGATGTCAGCTTCACTAACATCCTCCTCTCACCCACCTCCTCTACAGAGTCCAGAGGACAGTCCAAGACAGAACTGGCCCTCCTGACCAGTTCGTTCAGTCTCTTCCTGTCTCTCTCTGTGCTCCCTCCTCCCCAGCAGACCACTGCATAGAAAAGTGCAGACGCCACCACAGTGTCATAAAATGTCCGTATCAGAGTCCTGCACGCTCCAAAGGATCTCAGTCGCCTCAGCAGGTGAAGTCGACATTGGCCCTTCTTGTACAGGACGTCTGTGTTGTGTGACCAGTCCAGTTTGTTGTTGAGGTGAACACCCAGGTATTTGTACGTCTCCACCCTCTCGATGTCCAAGCCCTGGATGTTCACCGGTGCAGTCTGGGGTGACTTCCTGCGGAAGTCAATCACCATCTCTTTTGTCTTGCTGGCGTTGAGCTGAAGGTGGTTGAACTCACTCCAGTCGACAAAGTCCATGATGACCTGCCTGTACTCCTGTTCGCTCCCCTTAGACACACACCCCACGATGGCTGTGTCATCGGAGAACTCTGCAGGTGGCAGCTCCCAGAGTTGTAACAGAAGTCCGAGGTGTACAGGGTGAAGAGAAAAGGGGAGAGAACTGTCCCCTGCGGGGCCCCTGTACTGCAGACCACCATGTCAGACTCACAGTCCGTACTGTGGTCTGTTGGTGAGGTAGTCCGTTGTCCATGCAGCCAGGTGACAGTCCACTCCAGCCCTCTCTAGCTTCCCCCTGAGCAGTGCAGGCTGGATGGTGTTGAAGGCACTGGAGCTGCCGGTGTTCTCCAGGTGAGTCCAGGATCTCTGCAGCAGGTAGATGCCGGCGTCATCCACCTCGATGTTTGGCTGGTAGGCGAACTGCAGAGGATCCAGATTTGAAGTCACCAGGGGGCGGAGGTTATCGAGGGATCCTCTCCATGGTCTTCATCAGGTGAGAGGTGAGGGCCACAGGTCTGAAGTGGTTAGGCTCCCTGGGGTGAGATGTCTTTGGGACTGGCACCACGCAGGAAGTCTCCCACAGAGTCGGTACCCTCTCCAGTCTCAGGCTCAGGTTGAAGATGTGCAGAAGAACCTCACAGAGCTGGTCTGCACGGTCCTTCAGGAGTCTGGAGCTGATGCCGTCGGGACCTGTGGCCTTCCTCGCCTTGATCTTCCTCAGCTGGCTTCTCACCTGATCAGCTGTTATGGAGAGGAGGAAGAAGAGGAGGAGGGGGTTGTTGGGGGGTCTTCTTCTGAGGAGGAGGAGGAGGAGGAGAAGAAGAGGGCTGTTGAGGGAGGTGGCAGGGTACTCAGGGAAACGTCTTACAGAAATTATATTGTTTTCTGTCGTCTGCTGTATCCATGATAGAGTTTAGTGCACAGAGGGGCGTGTGCCAACAGTTCTCTCTGATTTAACCTAAATTAAGTTACTTGTCATTAATAATGGAAAGGATCCGTTAAAACTCCTGCTGCCTACTTTATGAATTCCAACTTCGTATTTGGGGCGGCTGTGGCTCAGTCGGTAGGGTCGTTTGCCTCCGAACTGGAAGGTTTGGGGTCCGATCCCCAGCTCTTGCAGCTACATGGCTGATGTGTTTTTGTGCAGGACACTTACCCCAAGTGGCTCCCGCTGCTTCATTGGTGGAGTGTGATTATGTATGAATGGGATTAATTACCTCTGAAGGTCACTTTACACAGCAGCCTCTGCCATCAGTGTGTGAATAAGTAGGTGTGACCTGCGGTGTAAAAGTGCTTTGAGTAGTCAGAAGACCAGAAAAGCGCTACACAAGCTCAAGTCCATTCAACATTTATAGGTTAGTGCAGCTGAAAAGAGACTCAATATGTTGGGAGGGGGGAGTGGGTGGTGACATGCAGCAAAGGGCTAAGGTCGGATTTGAACCCACAACTGCTGCAACAAGGGCTAAAGCCTCTACATGGGGCGCGCAACATAACCGCTAAGCCATATGGTGCCAGGCATAAAAAGATATTTTTATCAAAAGGAGTCGTAAGACTTGTCAGTAGCAATATAGGGAATAAAAAGTAGATAGAACATTTTTTCTCTGCTTCAATGAAAAGCTTTTTGTCAAACATCTGGTAACCACTTAAAGTTCTTCAAAAGCAATGTGTTTGTCATTGAGATTAAGAAGTGCTTTGTGGATAGTACTGTTAGCCACAAGATATGAATGTATTCTATATCATGGGTCTGTAGGTTACATTTAAAGTATTGCAGGGTGGAATAGAACAAGAAGAAAACAGTTAGCATCTTTGGTGGCTTCAAGACTGTATTTCCCTGAGTTACAGTGAAGCTTCATTTTGTCAGAAAGTACTTAACAGAATAAACTGGAAGGTGTGATGGTGTGAAGGTGTGTAGAGAGGTGTGATATTCTTTATATGAAGGTGTTTCCTTAGCTGTCTCTTGACGTGATGGAAACTGTTCTTACGCTTTCAGAAAGGAAACACAAAGACAAAGATTATGATCCGGAAATTAAGATCTGTAAGTTGAAGATTGGACAGACAGAGCGGTCGTGTTGGAAGGGGAAGTTTTTAGTGTTTTCTTCAGTTACAGCAGAAGTGTATGTGTGTGTGTGTGTGTGTGTGTGTGTGTGTGTGTGTGTGTGTGTGTGTGTGTGTGTGTGTGTGTGTGTGTGTGTGTGTGTGTGTATGCATGCAACAGTTAATCTCACATAACAGGAAGTAACAGTATCACAACCTGAGGTTGGGTTTGAACATATGAGATAGCTGTGGTTGTGTTTTTTTCCCACCTACACCTACACACAAACACACACACACACACACACACACACACACACACCCCAACAACCACAACCACTACATTTCAAACCAGATACCTAACCAAAACCAAGTCTTAACCCTTTTAGGTCAAATTTTATTTACATCACGTCTCGCCATCCGACAGGGCGAGTCTCCTGCTGTGACATGCATACACATATAGCAAATTAGGTGGATTTCAGGGACACCCCTCCTGTAATTCTCTCAAAATGTTCAGGAGTGCATATATGAAAAGTGCCTTTAAAGTGTTCATTTTACACCTCAGTAAAAATCTGAATGCGTCTTACTGCTGTTCAGGTTACTCTGTTGGAGCTGGTCAGTTCCTCGGTCCTGGTACTGTGGAGGTGATGGGTGGAGCTCCACAATACAACCAAAAGGGCAAGGTAAGGCTGACATGTCTGTCTGTTTATCTCCGTGTCTGTCTGTTGGCTTCCTGAAATAAAAGCCTTTATTTTTGTACATTGTGTGTCTTTGTGATGTGCAGGTCTTCATCTTCACCATAAATGGCAACATGCTGAATGTCATCTCTGAAGTGTCCGGAAAAGAGGTAAGAAGAGATCTTAGCATTAGCATCATTCAGTCCAAACATTACAATTCTTAGCACTCAGCATTTTGATTATTTTCCGCGCATGTGTCTCGCAGTTGGGATCTTACTTCGGCTCCAGTGTGTGCGCGGTGGATCTGAATGCTGATGGTTTGTCGGACCTGTTGGTCGGTGCTCCCATGGCCACAGGCGTCACCAGGGAGGAGGGAAGAGTCCATGTGTACATCAATCAGGGGGAGGTGAGCAACACACACAAACAGTGGAAGTTAATCTGGGACCTGTCGGTGGATCTAACACGGGGAACAGTCGCTAGAACAGATTTGTTTTTGGGTCCAGAATACATACTGAATTCATACAGTACTACATACTACTAATCCCAGTATAGGCTCCCAGTCCTGCATTATGTTAACAAAATTAGCTTCAATTTGTGTTCAATGTGAACAAAAATATTCAAAAAACAAATTCTGAAAAATTGGGATAGAATAGATACACAATTGTATGGAAGCCCATTTCCGCCAGTAAAAAATAAATAAAAATGAAAATAATAAAGCCATAATTATGAGATAAAAAGTCAAAAGTATGAGATAATAAAGTCATAATAATGAGATATAAAGTCATAATAATGAGATATAAAGTTGAAATTATGAGATATAAAGTCATAATAATGAGATATAAAGTCATAATTATGAGATAATAAAGTCATAATAATGAGATATAAAGTTGAAATTATGAGATATAAAGTCATAATTATGAGATAAAAAGTCGAAATTATGTGACATAAAGTCATAATAATGAGATAAGTCAAAATAATGAGATAAAAAGTCAAAGTAATGAGAAATTGAAATTATGAGACTTTATTATTTTCATTTTTATTTTTTTTACTGGCGGAAATGGGCTTCAATTGAAAAAAAACAAGACGTATGTGAATGATAAGACTTGGAGAAAATCTACAAAAAAGGCAAAAAGTATCAGATGTGTACAAATCCACGAGGAGACTGTTAAAGATTCTTTAAATGCATGAACATATAAACTAGATAAATCCTAGGAGCTGGAAAGATGTAGATTTGACAAACAAACAGTGAAAAATAATGTCTACAGTCGAGTACATACTCCCACAATTATTCATGAATATGCTATCATGTGACGTTTCAGATGCCGACATCACATGTCTGAAATACAGACACATCTTTCACACTGACGTGTTTGAAGAATGGTCGAGCATGATAATTCACGTGGTGGTATATAAATGAGACCAAAGCCTTCCTCAGATGAAAGCATTACACAAATACCAATGGTGTTCTTCTGTCATGTTTAAGTGGGGCTTATTGAGCCCATGTCTTTTATCACGGTTGAATAAACTACATCAGCCATGAGAGTGTTAACATGGACTTGAGTATCCCGGTTTTAATCGGGTTTCTTAAGTAACCCTGTTTATGTGTTATGCATGTAAACGCCATATCCCGAAAATGATCAAAACCAGGATATGGCTCATAACCGGGATACTCAAGTCCATGAAAACCCACTCAGTTTGTCACATTACTCATTTATATCCACAACTCCAGTAGATATTGTAACTTAATTTCCTTTGCAAATGTTTTCATAGCAGACATTTGACCTGTAATTGTAGAGCTGAGCATTAATAAAGGCTCTGTCCTGTTCTAGTCTCCCGGTAAGCTTTGATGTTGTGACAGAAGCATACTCAGTACCAAGACCTTGAAACTTAGACGTATTTCTCACTTGCTGTGACATTTCAGATAATCTTTAGTGTATCTTTCTGTTTTCTAAAACAAAATGGACTCTGTCTCAGGCCAAGCTGGTGGAGGCGGAGTTTCAGCTGACTGGTAAAGACGCCTACGCTGCCCGGTTTGGAGAGACCATCGCTGACCTGGGAGACCTGGACGATGACGGTTACCCCGGTAATACCCCTAACTGATCAACCCGACTGACCAGCTTTTACTTTAGTGAAGACAAATAAGGACAATACAAGCAGAAAGTGTTGGTGCTGCTTGTACTACATCATCTTCTATTAAAAACTGCTGCTCACAAGTTATCTTCTAACTGTTAACTACTTCTGCTTCTGCAAAGTCCTGGTTGTAGTAGTGATCAATACTGGTACTGCAAAAACTCTTCTTCCTTCTCATCTTACTGACAACGACTTTCTCTGTATAGCTAATACTCCCATCATTAATAATGTGAGTTAGTTTAGTTAGTTTAACTAATGATGCTGCTTAAAGGGCTGCAATAACTCCACCACTTCAAACAAAATACTACAGAAGATTGGTATTACAAATAGCCACTCCTGGTGTTTCAAATACAACTTCTACAACCACTACAGTTACTTCTGCTAACACTACTTAAATTATGGCCGACTACTGCTACTTCTACAACCGTTACTGTTCCTTTTTGTACAACTGTCACTGCTGTTTGTACTTTTGCAAAAGCTAATAATACAATTCTTCTTTTTCCTAAGTTTTATCCCGATGACTATTGCTCCTCCTGCTCTTTTTGAAACTACTTCTAACTTTTACTTCTACCTCTACTACTACTTCTAAACTCCTAATGCTGCTTATACTGCAAATACCTCTACCCAATTTTGCTAACTAAACTACTCAACACGACTACTATTACCACCGCTGCTTCAGTGGCAGTAGTAGCACTCTCGTCAGTCGTCCACTGAGCAGTTGTTGGGATCAGCTGGGATTCATTTTCCTGCCCAAGGGCACCTGAAGAGCAGCAATTAGGCCGTTAAGCACATTCTGATCTGATGATGCACGAATACTTTAGCTTCTATAACGATACTGCGATTACTGCTGCGCTAAACAGTCAGAAACAAAAACATACACTGTCCTGGAGGCTCATCTCACCCATCAACACAAGTGACTGACAACGAGTAACTGCCACATCCTGATAACACAAGACACATCACACTCACACCCACAAGCAGACCCCTGCAACTGGTGTGTGTGTGTGTGTGTGTGTGTGTGTGTGTGTGTGTAGGGTGGAGTGTGTTATTAAGTTCATTAAAGCTGTGATGACAAACTGTTGCCGCTCTGCAAAATGGACCTGCCTTCTAATCTGGCACAGCAGTATAAAAGGGTGTGTATGCGCGCTCGTGTTTGTGTGCAGTAACCTGCAGTAACAAGTTTGACTTTGTGACCCTCACATCTTCAAAGCACTCCGGTTAAATATTAAAGGACCATCCTGTAGTTTTCTCATGTTTAGGTACTAATTCTACAAACGTTCATCCTGTTGAACTTTTAGAAAAACTAAGGTCATATGTCAATGTCACTCCAGAGAGCACAACCTTTGAAACATAATCCCCCCCCCCCCCCGCTTTTAATAATGTTGACATAACTTCATCGAGGACGGAAAAGCAATACAGCTACAAGTTTCATAGATAATGCAATAAGAATAACTGGCTTCCTAAGAGAAAGGGGATACAATTTTCAGTGAAAGGTTGAGTTTAGGGTGATAGGTTAGACCACAAGAGACCTTAAATGTACAGAGCTATAAACTTTTTTTTTTTGTGTGTGTGTGTGTGTGTGTATAGATGTGGCAATTGGTGCCCCGCAGGAAGACGACCTTAAAGGAGCGGTCTACATTTACAACGGCAGGAGGGATGGCATCTCTCCCACTCCGTCTCAGGTGAAAACACTCACGATTCACTTTATTGTCTTCTTGGGGAAATTTGTCTTGGACTCAAAGTGCTGCTAAATATAATGATGATAATAAGAAATAATGATACAAAGTATTAACCAATTTTAGCTGTTTTTCAGATGCTCAAACACACTAACATACATTCAAACTGAAGTGTTTTAAACTTAGTTCAACTGTAGAGGGCTGTGAGATTGCAAAGATCAGTATCTATGATCTCTAACAGCAGTCTGCGCATAAAGAGAGAGAGAAATGTTTGAGATCATTAAATGTGTAGTCAAAATAACAAAACCAGTCTTGTTTTATTTGGTTGAATTTACATTCTGATAGAAAAGCAATGCTACTACAACAGAATGAAATCATCTTTTTAAGACAGATACATTCAGATATGTTCTTATCTTTAACATATTATCCATAAATACCGTGTGTGTTTTCAGAGGATTACTGGATCCACCCTTGGCCGTGACCTCAGGATGTTCGGACAGTCGCTCAGCTCAGGCATTGACATTGATGATAATGGCTACCAGGGTAAACTCAACTCTCACAACGACCAGTGCCAGATTGTAAATTTCCTTCTCATTAGACCTTTGAATGACGGTTAAACTCTCTCTGTCTCTGCAGATGTTGCTGTTGGTGCGTTCCTCTCAGACTCAGCTGTAGTTCTCAGGTAAGAACACACTTAAACTTTCTTTTGAAAGGTTTTGTTGTAGTTTTATTTCCTTTTGGGTTTATTTTGAAATCAGAGAACAGGTCAAACATGATCTCCTTAATTAGAACAACCAGAAGTTTGCCAACATCTGCTTCAGATACTTGCTCATACTGAGGTGATTTCTTCAGTTGCAGAGACATGTTTGTAAATATCAAAAATGAATCTAATGCGTATACTCCAGATATGAAATTTGACATGAGGAAATCTTCTGACTTCATCTAAGTCGACTCAGCATGCTGTATTGATTTATGGGAATGTGTCCTATGTGCAACAGGACCCGTCCGGTGATTCAGGTGAAGGCGTCTCTGGTTCTGCCTGAACAGATTGACAAGCAGGTGGCGCTGTGCCAAGAACACAAGACTCCGACTGTCTGCCTCAATGTCACCGTCTGCTTCAGCGTCAGCTCCAGACATTTCAAAGGAGCGATAGGTAAAAATGAAATAAAAATGGTCAAATATTGTACTTTGGAGAATACGGCTTACCTTCTGTATTTAAGATTGTTTTTCCTCTTCTCCTTTTTAGATCTTCAATATAACTTGACCTCTGACCTCCTCCATAAGCCATCTTTCCCCCATCGATTTTATTTCCATAGTAACGGGTCTTCAAACAGCACAAGAGGGCGTGTGAGAGCCCGATTAGGCCAAGTCAACTGTGCAACACACGTGGCTTACCTCAGGGTAACACACTGACACATGACTAATAACAAAAAGCTATTCTAACATGGACATTAGCCGGGGTTATGCGAATAATGTGGATTCTTCTTCTGTACCCGTTTCCTCATTCCACAGAAAGACGTGAAGGACATTTTTACTCCAGTCCAGTTTGAGGTTTCCTACAGTCGCAGAGAAACAAGCTCCCACCGATCCTCCTCCAGAACCTTCCCTCCATTAAAACCCATTCTGCAGCAGAGCACAGGACACCAGAACACCATCACCAACCAGGTAACAATCATTGCTAAAACAGGCTAGTAATAGCTAATACTAAAACTGACCAGGTCCGAGTGATTCAGTGAGTTACTGGCAATTTCTAACAGTTACCAGTCACAGGCTAGTGATGACGATCTAACATGTCTGTTTTAAAGAATAGGAAACAGCTAGTCTGATGTCAGGCTCACCACACTCTGCTGGTGACTTCCTGCTAATCCAGATGTGTTTACAGCTGCAACGCATCATCTGCAGCACATTATCCGACATCAGTCAGCTCACTCTGCGTCCACACCATGTCCTACTGACTCATAAATACAGAGCCAGAAGAGTTAACATGTAGGAATTTACAGCTGGAGTTATTCACCGCGACATGAATCACAATCTTTGTTCAGGGGTCAGAGGCCGCTGGAGTCGTCTGTCGAATCATCAACGAGGAATAGTTTTGTTATTCTGTTCATCTTTGTATTGTATTATGACATCATCAATGAACTCTGCCTCTTTCTCTTTGTCAGACTTGGTTTTCTCGCTCCTGTTATCTCGTGAACTGTTCCACCAACATGCAGCTTTCTGCTCAGCTAGTGCTGCCACAGTAAGTGCACACACACACACACACACACACACACACACACACACACACACACACACACACACACACACGGTCAAAGTAGCACTTCACACAGGACATAAGATTGTTCAGTTCTTGAGATGCAACATTCATTGTTGAAGTTGTTTACCCACAAAGAGGAAAACCACATGGTGTCAATTAGCTGCAGCCTAACTGAGGAGGATTTTTTTTCGACCAAATTTTTGATCTGCTGGCTTTATTATGCTTTTGCACAGCGAAACTTGTTTTTGTACGTGTCTGTAATCAGCACCATGTTTTTGCCTCTTAACTCTATTTCTATTGAAAATACAAATAATTGTAAATGATGAAAGCTGTACGGTCTTAATAATTTTCTTCAAACTACACATGTAATATATTGAGATCATAAAGGAGCTTCAAAAGCCAAATGTCTCTCGGCTCCAGCTTCATATTTAATGTGACGATCATAATGCTTTTCATTCAAGTGAATATATGGCTAAACTTGGAAAAAAAAAGCTAATGCCAATATGTGTTACGTTCTTCCCTTAAACCTCAGTAAAAGTGTCTTTTATGAGCTGCAGATGTATTTAGATGTTGCTTTTGACAGGAATATCAATGTTTTTGTTGTTGTTGTTGTTGTTGTTTGTCAACAGTCAGCAGCCGTACTTCGCTCTCGGCTCTGGAGAGACCATCTCGTTGAAAACCTCGTTACTGAACTCTGGAGACGAAGCCTTCCTGCCACGAGTGACGCTGCGGTTCCCCGACAATATTCACTACGTCAAAGTCCTGCACAATGTGAGTTAACTTCAGGGAATGTTTGTAGAGCTGGATGGTGGATTTTTTGAAGTTTTAAAATCTTGATTATGCGACACTCGCGGTCACTGGCGGATACTACATGATAACAAGCTGCCTGTTTGTTTGTGTATGCAGGAGGACAACAGCATCAGCTGTGACGTCACACAGGAAGACAACAGTACAACAGTTAGTGTAACCTGTGGTGCTACAAGCCTCCTCCTTCCAGCCAATGCCAAGGTAAGCCTTCTCAAAGTCCAAGTAGTTATTGAAATAGCTTCATAAAATAAAGTGCTGACAGCTAGCTGCTCTGTGGGGCTACACTAATGTGCACGTATGCTTTGAACTGAAGGCATCATGCTAAAATGTTGAGCGTGCAGTGCTAATCATTCTTTATAATCATGATGCTAAAGTTACCTTCTTATCACTGATTATAGTGTAAACTTTTAATGATTGTTTTATTTTGTAATATGAGTCTGACTCGTTTAAGATTGAACATGTTTTATATTCGTCCTACGCGCCACACAAAAATAAAATCCATGACATGACCCTGTTCGAATTCCCTAACAACAAGTAACTCACAGTTAAATATGATTCACATCACAGATAGTATTTAATTCCCAGCCACACAATACACACATGTAAAAAAAGGAAAGACAAACAGAAATCATAGCGTTCCTCAAAGGTATAATGTTGAGAGGCTGTAGGAGCCTTTTAATCTTCAGAGTTTTATTATTGGAGCTTTATTTCTCATGAGATGGTTTCACTTTAATGATGTCCTTGGATATTGTCCTTTCAATAATCTGGTAATATTTGATGAATGATTCTGTTTTTTAAGAGTAGGTGCCATCGTATTTTCCCTTTTTTTTTTTTTTGACAATATGAACTCCTGTATAGACTAACAAAAAAGAAATTGACATCCAGTTGGGTAACTGTTCCAAAATTGAAAAGAGAAAAATAATGAAAGAGGAACATTACCTCCAGTGAGAGTGTCTGATTTTCTCCCCAAAATAGAAATGAGCTTTTACTGCTCCTAACCCCCAGCCTATTGTGTAGAGGTAAAAGGTCGGATTGAACGTGTATGTACTTCATGTTCTCCAGTTTTGAGCTGTCGGCACATATTTACTGTATTTCCTCCTTCTCAGTTTTTTTTTAACAGTACATGTTGTGAAAGAAACTGCTGAAATATCAGAGTTCCCCCCCAGGAAAAGAACCAAGCAGCAGATTTAGGTGAAATGTTATTCAAAATACAAAAAAGGTTTAGAGATAATATTGATGCAATTCAGGTTGAAAATGGAAGGAATAAAGATGCTAGATGAGACTCAGACTCAGAGAAGGGGGACAGTTTTTTTAAAGTGGCGCTCTCAGTTACTAAAACAGCGACATTAAAAAAAAAAATAATAATCAAATCTCTGTTTGTTTTTTGTAGTTGAATATCAGCTTCCTGTTGCATGTTAGCCAGAACAGCACACCTGGTGACATCATCATCCACGTCAACACCAGCAGGTAGGTAACCCCCGTGAACGTGACTGTTCCAGTTGAACTTAAAAACTGACTTGTAGGTGATTTAATCCATGTGCGATTAACGGATGAGACACTTGCAGGTAAATGTGTTCAATCTTTTTGTTTTCAGCGATAACTACGAGTGGGACGAGTATCTCCATGACAACGCCATCAGTCTCCTCCTGCCTCTCAAAAATGAGATCAATGTGAACATCCATGGGTGAGTCAGCCTTCATCAGGATAACTCACATTAAAGCTCAATATTTGAACAAGTATTCTTTAGACATAGTGGAAGCAACGTTTCAACAAGTCAACAAAGAACACAACCTTAGATTTGTTATATAACAGTAAACCAGTGTTGTAACATTCAAGATGTACAAAAAAAAAAGGACAAGAAATAAAAGCAGTTCAACTTCATTTAACAATAATGTTCAATTCAAACCCAGTTTATAATCAGCAAGCTCGATCAACTGATTTTAAGAAAAAATTAAAGTATTTGTTTTACTTTAAGTGAAGTTTTACAGCAGATTCTGTGTGTTTGTGTGTGTGTATGCAGTTTTGTGACGCCCACCACGTTCATGTTTGGAGATGAAGACTTGACTCCAGTTGAGTGCTACCCTGAGAGATTCAACTACACATACAAGGTAAACATCATGTGTGGTTCACAACGTCCTTCGGTCATTTTCAGACAACACTTTGAGTGAATTCTTGTGCTGAGATGAAATCAGTAAAAGAAGATGTGACTTCATCAGACCCGTGTTGCTCTTGGCAGCTTTGTGTTTGTGTGTGACTGTGGGTACACAAGAGCTGGCAATGTTTCAACTAAATAAGTGATAAGTCGAGTGTGATGTATGCAGCCCCTACCGCTCAGTCGCTGTTTGAGAATTGTGAGCGCGTTGAAAAACACACACGGTTGACATAAAATCACTTGAATGTTTTATTTCTTTTTTATTGTCAAGCAGAAGAATGTTCTCGACTAGTAAATGTTTTTGCGGCCACCTTGCCTGTTACAATAGTTCAACAAAAACCTCATTAGTCACTGAATCAAAGGTAAATATTGCACTTTATTTTTGAATAGTTTTGACTTGTACTGATCCTTGTGGTGCATCTGTTGTTTTGTCTGTGTGCAGGTGTTGAACACTGGTCCCAGCAGGTCTGCAGATACTGTGGTTGAAATCACTCTGCCGAAGATCCTCACACCGTACCGACACAGACTGCTGCAGGTGGTCGACTGGCAGGTATGTCCAATAATGGAAGCAGTGGAAATACCAGAAGTAGACGGCATAGCCAAGTCAGAATAAAACCTTTTATCTAGGACCTGTGTGGATCCTTTCAGTATCTGGTGTTTCAGTTGTCCGACGAACATCTTTGTCTGTTAAAAAATCAGAATATGGGAAAGAGAGGTTTCTTGTAATATAATAAATCTTTATAGCATGACAAGTTTCTTTAAATAAAGCTAAAAACACATTTTAAGAATGTCAACAACGCCAGCACATCCTTCTCTCTCTCTCTGGCAGACATTGGTCAAAGTTTTTACAGCAGACAACTGCTACAGATGACAGACGTTTTTTCGTTCCTTTTTCAGAACCCCTGAGTTATTAATTTCTGTCAGGACCTAAAGACAATGTCAACAAGTTCAACATCAATTTTGGTGCTTCACAGAGATTTCTGTACGTTTTTTTTTAAGGCACTTAAACAACACTCAGCCACGGTATTTCTTAAAAAATAGGTAATGGTTTGTAGTGCCAGTAGAAGAACAGAAGAAGTTGTGGATTTAATACTAGTTATAATCAGTGAAATACAGAAACACACAGGTGATAAAATAGTTTTTTACAGTGTGAACATGAGTTTTCTCTTTGCAGTCGTCTCTGGGTGTGTGCTCACTCAGCAATACAACCGTCTCGGTCATTGAAGACTGCGAGGTCCCCAAGGCTTCCTTCATCAAGCAGCTCGTCTTCTTTTTTTCATCGACGACAACCCGCAGAATGGTACAAACACACACCCTCACACACGCAGTAAAAACAGACCCACACATTCACTTGCAGTTGATTATTTTATTTTTTTTAACATAATTGCTTGGAAAACTTTTTAAGTGATGAAAAAGTAAACAAAAAAGCCACAACACCGTTGGGAGAGAACTACAAGTCCTTGTAAGCAATGCTGTGGAGAAATGAGAACTGTAGCTGTCAGAAGAATTTCTTTAATGATTTGACGTTTTTTGACTAATTCATGTTAATTTAACAGTTGTGGGAAAGTGTCGTGTTTAAGGTCTTCACATCAAAGCAAAGAGATCATTGGGATTGTATAAAGAACACATTTAAATGCGTCACGGTCAATCAGTCAATCAAGATCTGTTGAGGACTCAAGCGAGACAGCAACAACCAAACATGCACAGATCTTGATCTTTTGTTCGTGTTTGTGTGCAGTTTTGTGGCCGTGGTGATCAGCTGTGTGAGCGGTTGGTGTGTCATCTTGGTAACCTGGAATCAGGAAGAGAAGCTAGCATCCAGCTGGAGATCAAAGTGAACCCCGCTGTACTTCTACAAGCTCCAGTAATAACACACAGCTACTCAGATGAGCCTTTAGTGTCTAGCACACTAAGTCTCCAATTACATGCAATCTGATTTACTTTTTACATTAACTACTGCACCATGTTGAAGCATTGTTTGTTTCTATATTTTTCTGTTTTGGTGAAAACTCTTCACAGACAACAGCTCATGTTTTTCTGCTTGTATCTGTCCCAGGGTCGTCATGGCATCATGAGGATAGAAAGCACAGCGACTATATCAAATCCCAGAGAAGGTCCTCACACAGTCTTTATCCATGAACAACGAGCAGCGGAGGTAAAACACCTTGTCACCAGTTACATCTTAACAACACTGTAAAGTAAGACAAAGACCACCAACATCTGGATCGAGCTTTCTATGAGTTGAAAGTTTAAAAAAGTAACCTGATATCTACTTCTATGTGCTGTTAATACTCATAAGTCCTGTGTGTTGTTAATACTCATACTTCCTGTGTGTTGTTAATACTCATACTTCCTGTGTGTTGTTAATACTCATACTTCCTGTGTGTTGTTAATACTCATCTGTCCTGTGTGTTGTTAATACTCATACGTCCCGTGTGTTGTTAATACTCATACGTCCCGTGTGTTGTTAATACTCATACGTCCCGTGTGTTGTTAATACTCATACGTCCCGTGTGTTGTTAATACTCATACGTCCCGTGTGTTGTTAATACTCATACGTCCTGTGTGTTGTTAATACTCATACGTCCCGTGTGTTGTTAATACTCATACGTCCCGTGTGTTGTTAATACTCATACGTCCCGTGTGTTGTTAATACTCATACGTCCTGTGTGTTGTTAATACTCATACGTCCTGTGTGTTGTTAATACTCATACGTCCTGTGTGTTTTGTTTCCAGGTGGTGGTGGACACTCTTTTCGCACAGAAGCCCTCAGCATTAGTGAAGATCTTCATCGTCGTGGTCAGTCTAGTTTTGGGTCTGATGATCCTGTCTGCTCTTATCTGGTGTCTGTGGAAGGTAAAACTTGGTTTTGTTTATTTTGTTTTTACATAAAAATAAATAAATAAATATTTCTGATATGGTAACATTTAAGTCGGCTTGTGCAGGGATCAAGAGAAGTTGGGTCTTTCTAGATAACATAACAAAGAGTACAGTCTTTTACCTGCTCTAATTAGAGTGTCTTGAGATGACATGTGTTCGGAATTTGAGTGATACAACTAAAGATTGATTGAGACTATACATTCAAATGGAAATGCATATTATAATATGATGCACAGATAAACTGGTGTAATCATGATCGTGTATCATGTGACGTACCGAGAACTGCAGAATTCAGCGATTAGGTTGACTAAAAACTTCAGCATACGATATAATGGTCGTGAAACTGCGGTAATATGGTAGTATGATGACGGTTAAAGCACAGTTGTTTAAAAAAAGGAGGTAGTTATTCGCACATCACGTTGCTTCAGGGCAATGCAAAATCAGCAGACTTAGGGAGAAGGTAGGCCCACACACATGCTCAAACGCCACAAACCAGAGGTCTTCTTCAGGTGATCGTTTTTGAACGTTGTGATCAATTAAAAGAATTGCACTCTACTGCAGTATGATGCACTGAGAAATACAGCAGGATATTTCAATATAATAGGATTTCATATGGTATACCATATTGCAGTCTAGTTACTTTATACTTTATTTTAGACCCATAGGTCCATATCGTCCATAAAAAAGCACATATATATAAATACAGGACATTAACAAAGGGATATCGTCACTACTTGTGATTAAAATACAGCGTGTATCAAAATGTTAATAGTTGTAGTAATAAAACAATTTAAATGTTTTTCTTTATGTTTCTGTCCGTCTGTTGTCTCTCAGGCTGGATTCTTTAAGAGGGACTTCCAGAAGAGTAAAGAGGAGGAGAAGTTCAAAAGAGACAGCTGGGACTATGTTCCTAAAAATGACAAACGAGAGAGCACTTCCTAATCCTGACCGTCACCTCCGGCTATCACCGCTGATATCTGAACACAGAGTGGAGCTTTACGTGGTGACTGTGCAGCAGTCACTAATAAACTGATGGATGGGATGCTGTGTGTGAAAATATGGCTACCCCATTTCTTTGAAAACAGAAGGAAGTACGACTGTTGGACCTCATCAGCCAATGAAATCTGTCCAGACTGTGTCAGGTGGTTTACAGCCATACTGAGACAACACAGACACGTCTCGAGTGTGACGGCTCATTAACTGTCTCCCAAACACATCTGAATCCGACTGTGCCTTAAATGAAATATTTTTGCTTCGATGTGCCTTCACAAAGTTAAAAGACTTGAAGAAGACTGCAGCAATTGATGAATGAAGGATTAAAAAAAGGGAAATGGTCGAATAAGGAGGTCTCGGGGCTTCCCTGGGATGTGGCCTGAGGCCTCCACTTTGGATTTTTTTAAAAGGAAACCAAACAAAGGAAGAGACTTCTTGATGACCTTTGATCTCAGGTGGCGGCAACCTGGCCTCTGATTGGCTCAAACTCTCTGGAAAACCTCCTTTTTTGTCTGGGTGCTTAGTCTTATGATGTTTTTGTTTACCTGCTGACCAACATGTTATGCACTGGCCACACACACACACACACACACACACACACACACACACACAGAGAACATACTGGCTATAATGTACCGTTGTTGCACAGAGGAAGTAGTCAAGCTGTGGCTTCTGCAATGTGCTGGTGCTGGATGTGATAGAAATGCATTTTTTCTGTGGGTCAGACTTATTAAGACTGACACTGGTAGCAGAATTCATCTGTGTCTCAACAGATATCACTTCTTTTTTTTTAAGTCACTCTTCACTCTTGGATAAATATTTTGGAAGAACAGAGAGCTGGAAAGTACAAAACAAGAAAGCCTGAAAGCCATTGCGACTGAAAAGTGTGACCATGTCCCAAGTTGACTAAAGGTTTAGCGATAAGCTCAGTGGCTGCTGTAGTTCACCAGAAAAACTCTTTTTACTATTTGGCAGTTGTGGCTCCTCATTTTCCTCAGTTGCATCATAACTCCAATCAGCACAGAAGGAGAGAGAGAGGGATGTTCTTTACCAAATTCAACAGCATGTCTGTCACTGGCATTATTTAGAGGACACAGCAACAACTCAGGACACGCAACACTCAAAACAGCATTTTGAATTGTAAGCCAGCTAGAAATTGCCTGGGTCGGAATATTAATAATAATAAACTGTTTTATCTTTAACGCACTTTTCAGTGGAAATAAATCTCAACGACAGAATTAAAAAAGAAAGCAAACGCTGAGAGAAAGCAGAAGTTGAAGAAGTATGATTATTTTTAAAAAATCAAGTAAGCGTGGGAATAAGTTAAGAACACGAGTGAACATAGTATCTGTAAGAGCCTCAACACAGGCACTCAAGTCTGTCTCCACTGTTTTAATGCAGCTCAGAACAGTTTATATTATTGGGTTCAGGTTGACAGGCTGCTGTCTTGATTTAATAAAAAACTCCCGAGCTCCTCTTATATTTTTAATGTGCAGATCTTTTTTCTCATGAAGATCGGAGGAAGCTGAATTATCACACTTGAAATCACAAAACTCCAACTTTGTCACCAAGAAACAAATACGACAGGGACGTACTTTGTGGTTTGATCAGTCTGAATTCACATGTTCGCGTGCTTATCACATTATTAAGATCTGTTTCCTACTTGTGTGGTCCACTAACGAGCCAAAACTGATGTGAGAAATGTACCAGAAAATGTCTTAATGCATTTGGGGACAAGCTGAGAACGATGTAAGACAAGCAGCAGCCTTTTTCTTACAAACATGATGTGACATTAAGAAAGGCTTGACTGTAATCTACTGTTTCAACATCACTTAAATACGTTTTATCAACTTTTCTAGGTAACAATAATGGAGCATTTCTTCTCATTTGAGATTTATATCAAAAATAAATAGTATTTATAGTGTGCTTTTCAAGACCTGCACAGACAGAACACACAGCCAGCAACAAACTGAGTCACAGGGTTAAAAGATGGAAGACTACTTGAAAATTAGAAAATGTTGAAGATATCTAATTTACTCAAAACTTAGTTTAATGTTCAGTTTGTTGCAGACGTAGAAATTTAAAAGCAGCTGCTATGCTTCCTTCTGTTTATGTATTTTGTACAAATGCACAACACACAGATGTTTTTTTTTTTAAATATTTTAATTAATGAGTTTGTCGTTTTGTTTATGTGAAGATATTCTGCACTGGAGAGTCTCACTGCTTTTATCAACACTTTCCATTAAAATTAAGGATTTTCTATTTAAACAATTTGAACTTGCCTCTTTTTTCTTTTACTGGTGTTAGTTTCTCTCATAATTAGAAATAAGATGAGGTCATATTTAAAACGCTCTTTGGACTCATTGACTCAGTCCAACACACAAACACCTATAAAACAATCAGTACAATCAGGGCTTTGTTGAAGTGAATTGAACTCCTTTTTCTTACCATGTTTGAGTCAATCCACATTTTTTAAAATGTCCCACATTTAAGTTTGGACTCATCATAATAATAATAATATTAGAAAAGTATTTACTCACTGCCATAGCAACAGGAAAACAGAATAAAAAGTTACAGTTAAAAAAAATAGGCAAATAAAAGAGGTAAAAATGTAAACATTAATTTGATTAGAAAACCTTTATCCTTATTGTTTAAGTATAGAGGTGATAAACTTGCATCTTCAAAAAGCACAGGTAGTGAAAGTTAGCTTATGGGTAACTTGATACGTTATTAAATATGCAGTTGTCAATAAAAAAAAAATAGATTTATGAAGCTTTAATGTCATGATCAGAAAGCTGTGAGAATCTGTCTCTAATCTGTTTTTTGCTGCTTTGACAGAAGCCTTAGTACAAGTTCATGTTGTAGCGTTTACAGTAATGACCTGAAGAGGGCAGTGTCAAATCATTTGTGGTTACTAAGGTGACGTGTCTTGTTTGTAACAAACACACAAACAAACACACAGGAGCAAATCCTCTGCTGGACTCAGATGCAGCTGCAGGAAACCGTTGACTCCGCCTCGTCCACCTCGTCCACCTCCTCCCCGTACAGAGTGATGAGCTGAGGGTGGACCCTGAACAACACACACACATTCAGGTTTTCATCACTTCAGAGGACATCACTTTGGATTGAGTAATTTCCTGAAGATTTACCCAAACTAATCCCCCAACAGTTCTTTCCATACCTCTAACCCTCACCTTACCCTGACTTTAAAGCAAGTCTTCACCCTAACATTTAATGATAAACAGGAACTTGACTAATACATGTCCCCACAATGTGAGTTTGTGAACAGTGACCCCAAAAACAAGTGAATAGATGTTATTCATATACATGTCCACACCCAGGCCAGAGACAGTTGTGGCTTTAATAAATAGGACTATATAAAAAGTAGATTTAGCAATGCAGATCCAAAATACATCCAAATATGGTCACTTCTGGTTCCAAAGAACTAAGATGGCGGTTGCTGAAGTGCCAAACTTTTTTAAATTTGCGATGAAAGAATGAAAATCAAAAGTTAATCACAATTAATTTCATTTTTATTCAAATGTTTGATATGCATTTATTTTGCATTTCAATTATGTTTTGTTAATGCTTTTATTTTGTAATTTTGTACTGTCTTAAGCTACTTTACTTCCTGTTTCAATACATCCCTGCTTTTATTTTGAAAGAGATAAAATAATAAGAGATTCAATAACATTAACTTAACCACGGAATAAAGGAACATGTTGCAGATCAAAAAGTAAATGAAAACAGCTCGAGAGGACGTTAGAAAAGTGAAATGTGTGAAATATCAGGTGGATATGACTTTTGAATCGTCAGCTGAGCCATCTGGGAGTTTAAAAAAAAAAGAAATTAACAAAATGAGCCATTCAAAGGCGCAGAGTTTCATTCTTTTCCATCACTGTGACTACTGGCATGAAATCCTTCAGGGATAATAAACATTTCTATTCAATATAAATGTATATGAAATATTTTCCATTTCACTGTGTGTAATGACACCGTGCAGATTCATTCAATCTATAATTGAATTATTATTTTTTTCGAGTATCAGACCTGATGAGCACTTCGTTGGCGATCTCCACTAGCTCTCCGTCGATGTTCCACGGAAAGGCAGCTCCCTCTGATTGGATGATGGGCGACGTTCTGGAGTCTCCCTCTTCCTCGCTCTCCTCCTCCGACCAGCCAATCTTGGACCGCGGGCGGATCCTTACCGCTGACACATCATGAGTTTCCACGAAGGAGAAGCTGAACTGCAGACAGGAAATTAGAACAGATGGACCGACAAACTGATCAGGAGAAAAAAAAAAACATAGTGTGTGTGTGTGTGTGTGTGTGTGTGTGTGTGTGTTCGTGTCCTGGCATGTTAATGGTCAGCTGATAGGAACAAAAAAAGCTCTGATCCTCTTTAAACAGCTTGTTAATCTGGAACAGTGACTCAGTTTCTTCCTGTTTACTGTCCCTTGTGTAGCATCGTGAAACTCTAACAGGGGGCAGCAAAGATCAACAGACGGACCGACGGACAGACAGACAATATGTCACTTTTCAGCGCTGAGAAATTAGGATGTGCACATGTATTTTCTTTTCAAACAATAGACGAACTGATAAAGAAGATAATCAAAAAGAACAAAATAGAGTGTTTTCTCAGTATATTCTGAGATAGGGCTGTAGAAACATTTTAAAGAGAAGAAGGTTTCTTTGAAAGTTTGTCTTTTGGAACAAAACTTCTGCTTTGTTATACCTCCCTTTTATTGGATCTTATTATTTAAAAAAAAAAAAAATCTACACAAAAATAAATAAATGAAAAAAAGCAGGATGAATTTTTTTTGATCATTCATCTGAAAATGCAGTTACACTTGAAGTATTTCTATACAAACATCCACTAACAGGACGGACTCAGGTGAGGCTCTCTGTCCACAGTGTGTTGTCATGGATACATGTAAGCTGCTCACCAGGATCTCGTTGTGTTTGACGCTGAGCTGTCAGTCCTAAAGTCAGTGTGAAGGCTAACAGGATGTAGGTCAGTGAGTAAACAGCCAGTTTCCAACGCAGGACAGTGAACGACGAGCCAACAGTATATTTAGTAAGTAGGTTAGTGTGCGGTCTCTGAGGCCAGGCCGGTCCAGACCAGGCCGTGCTGAACCAGGCTAATCTACTCACCAACTAGTTTGTTTATTTGGTACATGTGAGGAGGAGACAGCGAGATCAGGATTGAAACACATATCCAGCTTACGGAGATAAATAAAACACAGCCCGTACTCGATCAGCAAAATACCCTGAATCATTAAGCTCTGACTTCAAAATGTATTCTTGGGGCGCAGTTAGACTAGTGGTTAGTGCGTGTGCCCCATGTACGGAGGCTGTGGTCCTCCAAGCGGGCGGCCTGGGTTCAAGTCCGACGCGTGGTCCCTTTTTCCTGCATGTCATTCCCCACTCTCTCTCTGATTATAACCTCTATGTCCTATCTCTAAATAAGGGCAGAAAAAGCCCATAATTATTATTATTTATTATTCTTTAACCTGAAATTAGATCATTTGTGAGTAAAAGCAGCATCAATTACATTTTGGTAAAACTAGCTTGTGCATGTGATCAGCCCTGAAGAGTATTTGGAGGAGGTAGCAGATAGAAAGCAATCATCTTCACCTGTTTATGCAACGCATAAAAGAAAACTGTTTGTGCGTTATGCTGCTCATCAATATATTATTGCTCTGCCATTTAAGACTGCCCATCATCTCAGCCAGGAAAGGGTGATTTAAGGATTTTATTATCAATTTTACATTTAAGCAACTGAGCAGATCTTGTACCCAATGTGCAGGTGTTATACTCCACATGGCTGTCTCAGGTTCAAGTCCAGCCCTCAACATTTGCTGCTTGTCTTTCCCGTACTGTCTCTCTCCCTCTCAATGTTTCCTGTCCTATCAATAAATGAGTTGAACAGCCCAACAAATCTTCTTTAAGGTAAATTAATGGGATTCAATAAATTGTTTTGCTACTGGATTTCAATTCCACATAAACCTATCAAACCCTGAATCCAAAAGAACGTTGCATTTAAGAGCTGTTTTTGTCCCCTGACGAAGTGTCATACTGCTCTCACCTGTCCACTGGAGCTGTTGTATCTCTTCAGGTGTTTGATGAACTCTGACCTGGAAGTGTTTCCCACTGCGATCAATGACGCGCTACCATTTGAAACCCTTTCACAAACAGGAAGTGAAAGAGAAACACGATGTCACGACCGGCAGTGTGGTGCGTTCAAGGTCACAGCAAAGCTTACCTATGACGTTCTGCTCATCATACACAACATGTACCTGCTGTTAGGAGCCAGTCCTTGAGGTACATGTGGACTCAGACAGGGGATGGACATGATGCCGATGCTAATATACAGGCCCTGATTGGTTGTCCAGGACTCCTCCCCCTCTACACAGACAAATCACAGAGAGTAAGGCAGTAAACCAAAAATGATGAAAGACAGAAATCTGACCACGACCGTGTAAAGACTGACAACTGCTGGTCTCACCTGAGTCCGGGCCCTGGTCCTGGTCTCTGAACGGGAGGACAGAAATACATTTTTAGAACAATGTTTGCTGTTTTCACACTTCTCAGAAAAAAACAATCAATGTGTACTTAGGTTTTTTCTAGTTTATGTTCAAATAAAATATAGATTTTCTTTAAAACAATTATTTTAAAACTTGACTAGATGTCAAGTGTTGGACTTGTGTTTTTGTTTTGTTTTTGGTATAGAAAAGTAAGTAAATAAATGTTATCTTTAGTGTAGCAGCTTTCACACAGCAAGGTTAAAACAATTGCAATACAAATAACAATCCACTGTATGTTTACTGTTTCACATCAGATGTTCAAAGCTGTTGGAGGGAGTTAACCACAATTTTTGATTGAATAAAAAAGTGGTCTAACAACAATGTTGCTTAAGTAGAAGGGCTCAGCGCCTGAAGCCCGACCCCGGTTACAAACCACCCACCGCAGCTGGTTTAAACAAAGTTTCTTTTTGTCTAAAGACAGACTACATTTTCTATACACAAGATAGTCCATGTGTTTGTGTGTTTGTGTGTTTGTGTGTTTGTGCATGATTCTCACAGGTGATCAATCAAATTCTTGTTTGATGTCTTCGCTGGTAAAAAAGACAGCTGACAGTCTTCTGGTCTGCAGGAGGGAAAAACAAAGGAGGGACTAGGGTCAGTTTGCAGCTATGCTAGCAGCTTAGTAAGGTTATGATCAGGCACAGTGCTGCTTTAAGCTAACATGCTATATATTTAGCATAT